CTACGCTCCAGCTGGACTTCAATTAAAGTATCGTTTAGTAAAACAGCTCTTCACGAGGAAACAGGCACTTAGTAGGAGCCTGGGAGATGTGCGATTGTGGTTTTTGCGGCAATGATACAGTCTGCACCGGAGACGGGTTGCGACAGTTGTCTGCTTCACTACCAAGCGTCACCTTCGCAAAGGAAGGACCGTAACATCTTTTGTAGTACGCAGTCGTGTGGAAGTGCGCCGAAAGTCCCACATATGTTCACTTTCAGGTTGGACAGTAAAAGGGCGAACCGCAGGTAAGAGGAGGTGGGGGAGAGGGGAGAAGGGGCTTGAGGGAATGTCTATGGGCGGAAGAGGCATATGGGACTGTTCAGTAACGCCTTAATATCCAATTGCTCCCTCATTCGTTTCCCCTCATCGTGTTTAAAAAGAATATTATTTTACGTAAGCTATAAAACATTTGAGTATTTTATATAACTGTGAGCAAAATGAATTCGCAGAACGAATTCTGCAGTTTCACAGGGCACACATTTTTACTCAAAAATATTTTCCGGTTCTTGTATTTTGTAAAGAGTCTTATTTAAGTTAAAACTGATATACAGAAGATCGATTATGACTTGGCCGCATAGTGCCAAAATACAGGGACCATTCAGAGATTGTACAGAAGTTTCCTTCAATGCGTGTTATTGCTGCCGCAGGAATTACGGTTTCTGGTTGGTTTTAGAACTCTAAAATGAGACGCAGATTTTGATATGAAAAAAAGTAGTCTGCTATTGAAGAACAAGAAGAGTTGATTCGGGATGATATGCATACGCAATAACTTTATGCACCCCACATATCTTTATAACCCTAGCTTAGATGATTACTAAAAAAGCTCAGTAATGCACTAGTTTTTCATCGAGAATTACCTGTGATATTTATAAATTATTTTTAAAAACTGAAATGTGTACAAATGGTCCGCCTTTCAATAGTGGTGTCCTAGAAGATCCAGCAAATTCCCTTTTCTAAACCTTCACTGTGGAAAATTAGATACTAAATTGTTGTTTGCTCGTGAAAGTAAAAAAAACTATGTAAAAGAAGCTAGAAACTGAAATTATAATACATGATTTTGTTTACAAAGGAGTAATTACGTGGTTTTGCAATACTGCCTAGTGTGCGGCATAATGCCGAAGTACTTCTCTCACGCCGCAGTTTCTACTTGTAAATATAAGTGCTCCAAGCCACAACATAACTGTTAATATGGTAGGATTCTTGTCCACCGACTTCTATTGTCCTTCGACAAAGAACTGAACATTATGAAAACCATGCAGAAAACCTCTTTTCTTAGGTAGATTTTCCATCCATTTTACTAGTTCCTCAGAAGGGATTATATTTGGTTTTTAAATTTTTTAAGCTCTCGAAATGTTTACATCCCTACCAGCATATGCGCGCGTTTAGGCTACTAAAATCACAAACTGTGTACTACCCATTAATAAATTTGTAACAAGAACTAATCAAATTGCATACGTTAGAAGCAGCATTAATATAAGTGGAATCTTTCAGGTGACCAAACCTTAAAAGAGACGCAATTTTCTATTAACGTTTTGTGAAAGAGTATGTTGGCAGGCACACTTTCATAGCCTACGTTTACATATATTAGGGTCGCAAAAATCCATCAAAGGAGCCGCAGTCCTACCAATTTTCGTTTTAAAGAATTAAAATTTATGAGAAAATTGAAAGTATTGATAAAAAACCAACATATTTGTGCAATTACAATGCCTTCCGATTAAGCTCCGCGATAGGCAGTATTGCAAATTTACCCCAATATCTTTTCTGATATAACCATTATTTTGGATATTTCGTTAATATTTCCCGAATTCAGTCACATATTTCTTGACTAATATGAGAGAGTTTGCTTGATGCTTATGTTTTCCGGTCACCTTTTTAAATCAAATTTGTAAATAATATTTAAATTAAATAATTTCCTTCCCGTTGGTTTTGCTATGTCTAATTTCCCTTTTTGGTGTCTGCTCACTTAAAAGACCACTTCTAAATCTTACAGACTAAGCTGACATACTTTGTTTCTGCTTAACTCTAGGATAGTGACTATCAGCCCACTGTCTAAAGAGAAGTCAATAAAAACCTTTATCAGAACAGCTGCCGACAAAAAACACCTTCGGTGCATCTTTAAACTCAAATCTTTATGTCCAACCGACATAAACGTTACAAAATCTTTTCATCGCCTGTCCTTTTTGTAACTAATGAATCTTTTTTCTCATCCACATGTTTCGGATGTATTTTGACTGCTTGGAAAACGCCTTGACAACTGCTCCGCGAAAAATTACTTCAAACAAAAAAAGTTCACTTAGTAAAATGAAATTGAACAGGCTGCATGACAGGCGGACTTCAATGCTTCCCTCTCTAACCGCCAGTAAGTGGTCAAATGACTTTATTTATGATCAAAGCCGGCATACTCGAACTGTCAAAAAATTAATATTATTCATGGTGTTCATTTTATTAAAACTTTAAAGCTCAAATTTAATATATGAAGTCTATCGCCCTAAAATCTCTTAGCATACCTTTAACAAGACTGATCGTTATAACCATGGCGCGACAAATGACATCATTTTTGACCTTACATATTCCTATGCATCCTAACAGAATTGGATATCTCATAAGAAAGTCGGCATTTGATGTTCCTTTTTGCTATCGGTGGCTCTTTAAGCATATAAACCGGAAATGTGAGTCAGATATTGGTTACCGAATAACCAATCCTAATGGCGGCAATGAAGTTGAATTTATATAAAGACAGCAGTTACGTTTGTATAAGGCTTCGGATGCACGCTTGCATTTACCATCAGATGGTCGAAAATTTTCAATTTTTGTTAAATTTTTAACGTCAAACTTCTAGTTGTCAATCAGAAGCGGTCTCTTTTCAGACGTTTGCGCAGAAGCAGATGTGCGGAGTACAGGTCTAGGTGGTGGTTATTTGAGTTATCTCTAAAATATCGGAATTTCTACAAATCTCATGCAAGTCCCATATAAATGTAATGGCCCGATGAGAATATATTGAAAGCTTAGCTATGCTTGACAATTGCTCTACTGAATTCTCCGATGGGAATTCCGGCAATTTTCACTCTCAAGTGGTTTGGTCATATTTATTGGACAAGTAGCTACACATGAGTATTATCAACCAAGTGTTCATAGTCCATATTTTAAAAAGTGAATGTTGACTTTCGTCTCTCAATGCAGCTTTAGACAGTGGTTGTGTGTCCCATTTTTGTTATTTCTCGTCGTTGAAATGATGAGGCAGGTACCATGCTTGACAACTTTGCCAACGGCTCATCTAAAAATCTAAAATCACTGCATTCTTGATGGTAATAAATGCATCTCAGGTATACCGGCGCCAGAATCGTGGCAGTCGCATGCTCTAGCTAAACAAACACACTCTTTACGACGAAAATCAGAGAGTCACCTTCTGGAAATGCTCATAATTGGTTTATCTGCCTACCAGCATTCTCCTCAGCCTTCGCTATGAGTGGGAACTCGCTGCTGGCATCCTAATTGCAGGTTTAAAGAAGTATTGAGGCCAGGAGTGCAATTCGGTTGATGTGATGACCCTCCCGGAAGAACCTTCATAGAAAACATTCCTATTGGCCGCATAAGTTATGTCAGCGTGTGGACGACCTCGTACTCCATAAATCTTATTTGCGACATGTCGACCCCGATAAGTAAGATATTCTTCGTATTAATACCGTATGTTCGCCGGTTTGACACTGACCTGACCCAAAGACATAAAAATGTCGAAAAACTAGGTCGTTGGCATTGTTTTTTTCTGTAGAACATATGACATCTGTGGGGGCATAGTAAACATTGTGAAAAGATTTCCGAAAGTCTCTGACATTAATGGCTTACACTCTACCACAAGTAATTGTTGTTGCCACAAAAAGTGGAATATTTAAGCATTCAACTGATATTCGGGCGTAAAGCATTAGTTCTTTAACTGAATTAGTAGAGAGCAGTAACCGAAGAAAAAGGTGAAATATGATCGGAGAAGTTTTCTCACTCCTCTTACTCGCTAACTTATCACGCATAACTCACAAACAGGATAAAATTATTTTGCCGGAAAGTTGCTGGATCTTCGTCTAGAAGTCATCCATAAAGTTAAACTAACACGTGGTCATTCCCATATAACCCAAAAAGATTACCCTTACACCCATCACCATAAGCATCCTCTACTAACCATTGAAACAAACGGTTTGGAATTGTACTTGATCTCGAACTCGCATCGTAATATATATATCGGAGCTATTATTCCCTAAAGTGGGCTCTTAGTGCATACGAAATGAGAGCCAAAGTGTAGATTGAATCTATTGATGTAGACGCCAGTACAGGCTACTCAATTAATCTGTTTTCTAGCCAAAAGGACAAATGCTAGCACCCTGTAATGCTCTGTGAACTGTCAGTTAAAGCCCCGTGATTATATAAGCAAGAGTACCATTACATATCTCATTCTAAATGCGTCTTTAAACAGCACGTCTACATTCTTAGTCATTTCGTTTGACTCCAATGCCGCAATCCATACACACAACTAGTCGGCGCGGTTATCTATTCTGAGTACTCTTGCAGGCATTTCTCCCGAGTACTTATTTGATTAAGACAGCAGTCTGAGATTCGTAAGTGAAATTAATACTGACAGCACTCAAAGCTGCATCGAAAGGTCCGCTAAAGAGACTCAGAAAAGGCAACTTCCGATTATTATTAGTCAATGCCTTCTGTACCAAAAATTGCTAGAGTTTGTGCATCAGTCCGTTTTTGCCTCTCCCGTTGCCTATTTTGTTTTTCGTATACTCGAATCTGAAGAAGGTATTATTTTTATTCTAGTTGCCAGCTGCTTGCTAATAATTGGGAGACTGGCGAGTGCTGCTCCTGTTTCACAATCTGAGCTATGTACTCAGGAGGAAATGGCAAACGAAATCCAATGCATGCAGGTGTTACCTGAAGCCAGCTACTCCTATCCCCGAGGCTATACGGTAGACATGCATTGTGTTATCGCAAATCAACACGGAAAGGTCCAGTGGAGGGCAAAATCAGTACTGCTTGGTAAGTCTTGTATGATATGATTCTGTTAAAGAATGTATACAAAATGTCAACCCGGCTCTTTTGTTAAACAGGCACCTTTTTAATCAATTCCGACAGGGCAGGCGGTATTGTTTTTATGAGCCATGCTAGCTCCTTTACAGCAGTAGCACATAAGTTAAAACATGAGCGCCTGAACTACTGACTAGAATATTTAAAAACACGTCAAACTAATCAATATTACTTATAGTAGATTGTATTTCTCGTGAAGTGGCGCCTGGAATTCTGAAATATGTTTTCAATCCAAATAGCATACTTAAGTAAGACTGTAACATTGATTAGCTTGCAGCCTCAGCTTAAAGAGACTAAAGAGTAAAGACACAATGCTGGGCTTAAAACGAGTTTTTTTCTGAACGCCTGCGAAAAGCATACTCTGCAGAAAGTAGCTACTTAGATTATATATGTTTATATATATCAGAATACATTTTATAGAAAATATGCATCAAAGTATTCTTTCTGCTACTCATTTGGCGATAAAGTAGGCTATATTCAAAATGTTTACTTGAAGAAATGGTTTACTTTGGTTCAAAAAACGTTTGTTATAATGAAAGTTAAAGGACTGTGAAATATTCATTCATGACACATGTATCCGTCAATTTATTAGTATTATCTAGTAAAAATACAGCATGCTCCGCATCCACTAGAAACCGAATAAAAGGCCTCTTGGCGCATCGTGGCGGAATGTGTTTGACAGATTGTATGCAGTGTGTTGCTTGGAAACCTTGAATGCAATTGTGATGAACGGAAGGCTTCAAAATTATCCGGCAATTTGGATAGAGTTTAGGAACAAGAAGATAACTTTTTTCATTTGCAAAATTGTTACGAAAACGCAATTTGTTCGAATCGAAAACACCTTTTGGCATTTCGGATAATACCTTGTGAGATGGCAAGTTGACTGCAAATGATTTTACAAAATATAACAGTGTGTGCTTATATTCCCAATTAATTAATAGCCCATAGCATTGCGGCTATAACGTCGGCGTCTCCCCAGCAACCTATACGAAGCGTGCTTGAATCGATTATACGCTTGTACAATATGGAGTTTTCTGTTGTCTTTTCACGCTCACCTCCGGAGGGAAAATTGAATCATT